ATCACCACGTTGTCGTAAATAAATTCATTCCACATTTGTCCTAATACATCCATATGTGTGATTAGTTGATGAGGGAAAGCTCTGCATTGTATATCCCCAGCACCTGGCACAGGGCTGGGCACAGAGTAGTTGCTCAGCAAATACTGACTAAATGAATGAAGATAACTCAAGAGAAAAGAGGCGCCAGGCAGGAAGAAAGCCCATCTGTGATCAGCCTCATCAACTTGCAGCGCTGGCCTCAGAAACCACATCCTGCCAGGCCCTGTCCCAGAGGAGACAGCACTGAGCGTGAGGGAGACCTCGAGGTTCCACGCCAAAGGCTTTGGTGCTGCACGCCCTGCCTGAGCACCCACCACAGCCCTTTGGTGCGACAGAGCCCACAAGAGTGAGCTCATGCAAACCCCATAGCAGGCGAGACGCTGTGCCGCAAAGGGGACCTGAGCCAAGGAGTCCCAGCACTGCTGGCAGCCGGCATGGGAGGCCAGGCCACTGTGTGACAGGAAGTCCGAGGTTCTGAAAGAGGAGAAGCCCCCTGGCCACCTCCCGCGCCCTGCTCTCCAAAGTCAATACAATGCCTTGCATATAACAGGTGCTCGGTCTGTACCTGCTCATTGATAAAGTCCTTCGCAGTCGAGTACATTATGAAATGTTTGGAAGTAAAACTCCCTCTCTTGAAAGACCCGGAATGTTAAATTTTAACCACCACCACCACCACCAGACTAAAACAACAACAACAAAATTCAGTCTTCACCTTTGGAGGAGGCTTCATTGGTCTGAAAACTGTTACGTGAAAGGAAAAAAAAAAATCAAGCATTCATCTATTCTTTTCTGTATGAACTGCCCCTCAAAGTAATGAAGTCACTGCTGTGAAGTTTTTTTTATAGAAGAAGTGCTGGTAATGCAGATGACAAAGGAGATGGAGAGCATGACCACTGTGCAGCCCCGGATGCAGTGCGGGGGGGTCTGGCGATGACCGTCAGCGGCTAACGCTGCTGAACAGCTGCTGGCGAGCTTCCCAGCGGGTGGGCCAGGTTAGCACCTGAGCCCAGTGATCGACAGTAACCTCACAGAAGACAGACCCCAGAGGGGATGGGTTTCCCGCTGTGACGCGGTACAAAGTGCACCATCACCGCCACTCAAGGGTTCTTAGCAAAACATCTAAACTGACATCTGATCGAGATTTAATGACTGGTTTAAAGGAAATATAAGGCACAGTGAAACATATTAAAATGATGCTTTGGGGATTCCGTCAGCAAAATCCAGACAAGGACAGACTGTGGGACAAATAACCAGACTATTTCCATAAATACATGGGAAGGAAAAAAAGGGAGGGGGGATCTGTAAATCAGGGTTTCTCAAACTTGACATCACTGACAAGATGGAACAGATACTTTGTTGTAGGCTGTCCCATGCGTTAGCGGACACGTAGTAGCGTCCCTGGCCTCTAGCCGCGACATGCAAGCGCGCCTCTCCAGTTGGGGCGACCAAAAATGGCTCCGGGTATTGCCAAACGTCCCCTGCAGGCAAAGTCACTCCACTACCACCCCCTTGAGAACCACTGCTGTAGGATAAAAGAGACTTAGCAACCAAATGTCATGTGTGGGCCTTGTATGGATTTTTATTTGAAATCTACTGAAAAAAAAAAATTTAAGACAATCAGGGAAATTTGAACATGTGACAAAGACTTTAGATATGATAATGGTATTGTGAGAAATATTTTTTAAGAAGAATCCTTATCTTTTAAAGATACATACTTAAGTATTTATTGATAAGGTGATATGATATCTGAGATTTGCTTCAAAAGAACCCAGTGAAGAGAGGGGCATAGGTGAGGGGATAGATGAAATAAGATTAGGAGTAGGTAATTATTGAAGCTGGGTAATGGGTAGATGGAAGTTTACTTTATTATTCTGTCTATTGTATATTTTTCAATTTTCTAGAATAAACATTTTAGAAATGACACCTGAGGATGCTGGAGCCAACTAGCAGTGATATTATGAGTAAGTTAGGTCTCCACATACGGAAACACATATATATATTGTTTTTGATCCACAATAATGCCATTTTGATGAATTCAGACTCCTTCCCCAGGCCAGGCTGCCACCCTCCCCAGGGGCTCTACCTGAGGGCAGGTGTGCTGAGCATGGGTCACAACAGAGCCTGGTGTTTGGTTTGCTTGTCACCTCGTATGCCTCGCCAGACTGTAAAGGGAGGCTGGGAGGCAGTGACAAAGCTGCAGGCTTTGGAGTCAGATGGGTCAGGTTCAAATTCTGGTACTGCTGTGGGATCCTGGACAAATCCCAAGACCCTTGTGCTCTATGAGCTCGGTTCCCCGATCGTGGTTGTTGTGAGGATTGAATCAGATCAGGCATGTCAGATGTCTGACTATAAAGGAGATGCTCAGTAAATGCTGCTTGGTGAATAAGTGAGTAGGAAAAGGGAGTTGTCTGGAGGGAAGGCCATGAGTGAAGAGGGAAGATGGCAGCTGCACAGCTCCAGCCTGCCCGAGGGGGAGGGAGGCTGGGAGGAAAGCATTACCTGAGACCTTGCCCTCTTGAAGAACCTCACTGGTGGCCCGAGCCACAAAGATGATCCCCTCGTCGTCCTCCTTCTCCGTCTCTGAACTGTCACTCTCCTCCTCCGACTCCGACTCCACAGTTAAGATCACAGCAGCTGGACGGGGACAAGACTGAGTGGGGATGGCCAGCCCGGCAGCTGCCTCTTGGTGCCGCGTAAGCCCAAGCCAGCTGTCTACCCAGGCAAGAGCCCACGGCTGGCACAACCTCCCACCTTCTCCTCTGGCTATTTCAGCACTGGCCTAGGGGTTGGGGCTGGAGAGGAAGGGAGGTGGGGCTGCAGAGCCCCTCCTCAGAGGAAGCCAGTTCCACTTTCCAGCCCCTCCATCCTGTTCTCTCAGCCCCGGAGCCCATCCTCAACTGAAAACATGAGCATCTGGAGAGGTGGAAGGCCCATCAATGCTCAGCTCATCCAAACTCCTGGTTTTGCAGACAGGACACTGGGCTAGGGGACACCCATCCTTCAAGCTCCCCCCTTCTCCATGAGACTTTCTCCAATTCCCCGGGGCCTAGAACCTGTAGTTAGGTACCAGACACCTCCTGCCACAAACTGAGAACTGCCTAGAACATGGCCAGCTTTGAAATCAAGTAAGCCCATCAGGTCCCTGAAGGGAGGAGCCTCAGCCTATGGCACTGAATGCAGCACAAAGGGGATCCTCCAGGTTTTGGTTGATGGGCCTCTGCCCTCCCACCCCATCCTCAGCCCCACCCCCACTCCCTGCTTGCCTGTGTCCTGAAAGCCCAGGTCTCGAGGAGGTTTCCCATTTGTGGCCTCAGTGTTAGCCAAGCCATCCTTCTGAGGACCAAGAAAAAAACCCCTAAGCCTCTGATCATGGCTCAAAACCCCAACCCTGTTGTCTGGTAGGGTCTCCCTGACACAACGGGCCTGGGAATCTGTGTCAGTCTCAGTGGTTTCATCTGCCCGGGGCGCCCCAGGCAAGTGTATGGAGTGTAAGTAACCTATGCCCCAGCAAGGGCTCTGGATGCCTCAGCCTGGGCTGAATTAGGGACTCATGGAGCTCTCCCTGCTCCTGCCCCCAGGAACCTGCCTTTGTCTTTCTGGGTTCATTTCTGGTAGGAAGTTCTGCTGCCTCCCAGCAGGTGACCGCCCACATGGCAAGAGGCAGATCTCCCCCAGAAGGCCTCACCTTACCCTTCTGGGCCTCCAGGAAGTTGCAAAAGGGAACACAAACTATTGCACCCACCAAGGTCTTGAGGATTATCCAACCCGGGGTCCCCCTGGGCTGGACTCCAATACTTGGGAGCTTGAAACTATGCACCATCAGCCTCCAGCCCCAGACAGAAGTCCCAGAGAAAGCACATGCCTTCTTGCGACTGGTCTTGCGAGGTCGTGGCTTGCTCTTGTTGAGGCAGATGTTGTGCTTGGTGGACTTAAAAGACTCCAGCCGCCGCTTCATGTTCTGCTGGAAGATCTCCTTGTCCTGCCGTTCCTGAGCATCCTCTGAGATGAAGTGGCGGCTGCAGCTGGCTTTGTACTGGCAATGACAGCCCCGCCCTGCCATGATGCTGGGAGCCTTGGCCTCCCACAGGAACCCAGGCCACAGCACCAAGTGCACCATAGGCCCTGCCAGCCCAGTTTTTCCAGAACCAACCATGGATTAAAAAAACAAAAAATACGATAGGAACCCAGCCAGCCACTCTGTATTCTCAATTCACCGGAGGTAAACCTTCTTTTTATCACGAACCCATTCCCCCCAAATCTGGCTGTCCCTATCCTCTACTGCCCTTCCCAATCCCCTCTGACTTGAAGTAACAAGAGGCAGGAGACCCTGTATCTTGTCCCTCAGGGCTACTATGAGACTGTGGGGGACATTTCTTTCTTAGCACTTCCATCTAGGAGCCTGGTCCCTGTGCCTGTCCCCCCCACCCCCGGTACACAGGATTCTCCCTCCACAGCGAACTCTCCAGCCAGCCATTTCTGCAAAAACTTTGGACTTCCGGAACTATCTCTCCCGACACCCTGGACCCTCCTGGTCCCAACAGCCACCTGCACCCAATTCAGGACCACCCTCATCATCTGTTCCTTCCCACTCTTTCTCACAAAGACCAAGCCCACTACATAGCTACCTAGACTGCCAGATAGAAGTACTGCCATTTGGTCTGAATCATTTCATCTGGGCTCACCTCCCCAGTACGATCGATCTTTTCCTATGCCTCCTATTTTCTGATGCCCTGAGCCAGTTCTAAGAGCTCCCTTCAAGTCTCCCATCTACCCTCCTCTACCTAATCACCCAGAGGGACCCCTCTCTACTGGGGGTGCCAGAATCAGCTCCCTCCCAGGCCTCCCCCTGAACTCTGGCCCCTGTTTTGCTCAGCCCACTCCTCCCTGCCTCCATCAGCTCCTAGCTCCCTCCCATTCCCCCTGCCCCAGCACCTTCCCTCCTCCCCTCCCCTCACCACGCCCACCCCCTGCCTTTAAGCAGGCAGCTGCCCACACTCCCCTGAAGAAAGCCTTTCCACTGAAGCCACTGCTTCCCTTTTGCTGCCAAACTTTTATACTGTGATTCTGACACTTTCCCTCATACCCATCACTTTCTTAAAAACAGAAATATAACTCCAGGGTTCACGAGTCCATGGTGCTGCCTTCTCCCTGGTCACCAGTGCCATGGCATGGCCTCTGGTTAGGCACTGAGCTGACCTCTGTGGAGCATCCAGCTGTCCTGCCCCAGGCCTCCGAGACACCACCTGCTACAGCTCCTCTCCCCTCCTTTGCTGGCTCCCCTTCCTTTTCTCCCCTGTGGATTCCTCACAGTGTTGTCCGTGGCCCTCCTCTCTCCCCTCCAAATGTTCTCTGTAGTGAACTGGCCCTTCCCCCAGCTTCAGCTAGCCTCATGATAGAGACCACGACGCCATCAGACCAGGTGCATTTGAATCACCTGGACATTTACTAAGCCCACAGATTGTTAGTCCCTTTCCATACTACGAAATCAGAATCTCCAGGAGGTGAAGCCAGGAATATGTATTCTAGCAAGCTCCCCCAGGGGATTCTGATGTTGCCAGGTGAGGAAACCTCTGATGATAAAGATTGCTTATAAATCGTTAGTTCTAGGGGCGCCTGGGTGGCTCAGTCGTTAAGCGTCTGCCTTCGACTCAGGTCGTAATCCCAGGATCCTGGGATCGAGCCCCACATCGGGCTCCCTGCTCAGTGGGAAGCCTGCTTCTCCCTCTCCCACTCCCCCTGCTTGTGTTCCCTCTCTCTCTCTCTCTTTCTCTCTGTTAAATAAATAAAATCTTTTTAAAAAATCATTAGTTCTAGCTCTTATCTCTCTCTTAACCTATCATCTCCTATTTGTAACTGCATACTAAACACTTCTGTCTGTTTCTGATGACATTTCTCTCTCTCTAATGACATTTCTGTGAAGAACACGAAGAATTACAGATTATGTTATGGTATAACTAAGTGGACTCAGAACTAGTTGAGTAACCATACCCAAAAATGCTTGATCCATGTCAGTCTGGAGGAAAGTCTTTGGTAGCATGTCACAGGGCTCTGTCCTCAGCTCTATCCTGTTCAACATTTTATGTTGATTTGGATGAATACAAAGTTAACAGGCTTAGTAAATTTTCACATGATGTGAATCTGAACAGATATTTGGTGCCAGACATGGGATCCAAACGATGGAATGATAGGCTAAATCAAATAAGATGACATTTAACAGAAATAAGCACAATCTTACTCCAGTTTTTTTTAATTGACTACACAAGAATTGCACCCATTGACCAATCTTACATACACACATCCATAGACAACCAATCATTACATACATCCTGATGTGATACAATAAGAAATACATAGCACACCTACTGAATGTTCCTGAATCTGACCAGGCCTCTAGATTTAACTACCAGGAAATACAGAGGATGGAGGAACATGTTAAACACCACCACTGGAATACAATCAGCAAAATCCATAAAATGGGAAATTCTCTGAGACATAGTATCCAGTTTCTTCATAAATAAATAAGCAAGTGGGTGAAAAGGAAAAGGAACTATTAGAGATTTCTTCTTTAATAAAGAGACATATTTACCAAAGGCAAAGTGTGGACTTTATTTGGATCCTGGTTTAAACAAACCATCTGGAAAAAAGATGTTTATGAACACTGGTTGGATATTTCATGTGAGAAGGCATTATTGTTATTTGCTATGAGTGATAATAGTACTACTATTATATATATGTGTGTATATATATATATATAAAATATACATGTACATGAATACATATAGAGAGTTCCTGCCACATAGAGACACATATTGAAATATTTAGAGGTGATATGATATGATATGTCTGGAGTTTGCTTTAAGATAATAAAGTGTGGATGGAGTGAGGTGGGGGTACAGCATGTTACAAGATTAACCATGCACTGATAGAGGAGCTGAGCAATGGATACATGAGAGTTATTTTATTCTGTCTAGTTTTGTGAATGAGTAAAATTTGCCTTGAGAAAAAAGTAAACAAAATGAAACACAAACCCCACAGGTTGGATAAGACAGAGTTTAACAGTCATTAACTGAGGAAGACCATGGAGGTGTGTCTAATTGTAAGGATAATGTGGAGCCTCAGAGTGGTAAAACAAAGCTGGGGGGATTCTGAGCAGCGGGAAGAGAATGGCAAATTCTAGAGCTAGAAAGGTAAGAGAACCCCTATGCCATGCCCTGACCAACCACAGCTAGAGAAGCCTTCTGGGCCTTGTTTCTTATGACCAGAGAAGACACACCAGGGAGAGGCGATGCTGACTTGAGGGCAAGAAGGCCTGTGTGAAAGGGAACGGTCTTGGAACCTTTAAAGTCTTATTCTGCAGAGCTGCAGAGAGTCAAATTAGGACCAGTGCCACCGAGTTAAGGGAAGCCAATTCCGTCTCAATGATAGAAATAACCTGGACTGTTTCAACTGCCAGGAATGGTAACAGCTGCCTTCCCGGTTCAGACAAGTTCAACGTAATGGCTTGCTGCCCCCTTGTGGGGTTGCAGCAGATTCCCTCCCGGATGGGCTGGGCCGTCTAGCCTAGCCCCAAAACTTCCTGACCTGCGTTAGACTAACATTCTCTAAAAGAGATGCCGGCTTTCCCCATGCTAAGCTGGTCCCACAGGCTTCCTCAGCACTTCTGCTTCTGTCTGGGACCCCATCAAGCCCTCTGTAGTCTGTCCCCTCCTCTCCCCTTCAGGACAACCACCCAATCCTATGTGCTCCTCTCCCTTACCACCACCCAGCTCCGATCTGGTGTTTCAGTCCAGCCTCCCAACTGGCTCTCCCCGTCTCTCACCTCACCCCTCCAATTTGGTCTGAGCTCTGCTACCAGAAGAAGACATCTTTAAACAGTGCTTGTATCAGGCCAACCCTTTCTCAAAAAAAAAAAAAAAAAAAAAAAAAGCTAAAAGTTATTACAACAAGATGAAGCCCACGCTCTTCAAGTGGGTGTTTTTAACTCTCCACTAGCTGGCGCCAACTGCCTCTTGAGCCTGTAGTCATGGCCTCCCCGACCACCCTTCCCCAACCCCCCGCCCCAGCTGCCCTTGGAACTCTCACACCGTGCCTGCTCTCACCCGGCGGCGTGGCTTGTAGAGGCCTCCACAGAGCAGATGGTGCATCACAGCATCCTCACGGTCCCGGCCGCTGCGCACTGTGTCAATCACCTGCAGATCCAGACACGCTCCACTGCCACTCTCCCTCCTGCAGGAGGCAGGGAACATGTGTGCCGGGGAGGGGCCGGGAGGCACAGGCCAGGGGGAGGGCAAAAAGCAAAGGTGTTCACATATCTTCCCCAAAAGGGATGCACAGAGAGGGCCCAGCAGAGAGGAGCTTGAGGAATTGGAAGGGGGCTCAAGGACTTACAGCAGGTTGGTGACAGAGGTCTCTGCCACAGAATTGCGGCTGGGCATGGAGGGCAGAGTGAGCCCCGTGGAGGACAAGATATGGCCTCCCTGCAGGGGCCAAGACAGAGGTCAGACGGCAATCAGATGGAGGGTGGCCCAGTCAAAGGGTAATAAAAAGAACAATAGGTAACACTTATTCTGCTCTTTGATCTTCCAGGTACTGTGCTATGCACTTTAAATATTGAATCCACAAAACCCCACGACATAGGTATTCTTATTCCTGCTTTCTTACAATTGAGGAAACTGAGGCTCAAAGAGGATAAGGGACTTACCCAAGATCACAAGCTTGTAAGTGGTAAGAATTGAACTGCATCTGCTGACTGTAGAGTCCAGCTCTTTCTCAGCTTTCTCTACTGCCTGCCAGACTCTGAATTTAGCATCAGGTCAGGCTGGTGCCTGCAGCTGCCACTTTACCAGACCATGGAGTCTGCTGGGAATTCCCAACTCCCTGCTCAGGTCCTGCCTGTCACCCCTTCCTGCCTTGCTCTGCTGGCTACCTGCCCACCCACCACTGGCTGCTGGCCCACCTGGTCCACGAAGCTGATGGCATCCCGGATGTTGAGTCTATAGTACACATCCCAGATCTGGTCCCGGATGCGGTAGGCTGACCGCCGCATCAGCAGCTGACTCAGGTACTTCTTGTCAAACTGCTCCCACCTACAGAGGACGTCAGGCCCAGCCCTGAGTGCCATCCCCAAAGCCCAGCTGGCTGGCCCTTCCTCAGATGGGGCAGGGGCACGGCCAGCACTGGCCTGGCTCTCTTGGTGTGGGCCGCAGCTGGGAGAATCTCAAAGCTAATCCCGGCCCTTATGGAACTTACAGCATTAGGGGAAAGCCTGACATTAAATTGAAGTTATTGCAAACAACTAAAATTGCAACCATAACAAGAACTACAAAGGATAGAGTATGATAGGGATTTGTCCTAGTCAGGGAGGCCAAGGAAGTCCTCCTTAGAGAATTGATGCCTATGGTGCGATCTGAAGGATGAACAGGTTAAGTAGGTGAGAAGGAGGCAAGGGAATGTTCTAATACACAGAATATGGGCGAAGGTCCCAGTGGCAGGGTGGGAGAAGCAGAGCGGGTCCTGAGGTTCTAAACCAGGATCCATGTAATTAGCAGGCAGAGAGTCAAAGGCAGAGCAGAGCACGATGAGGCTGGGGTCTGGCACCTGCAGTACCACACAGGGCCAGGCAGGCCTCCCTGGGAAGACTTGTCTTATCCTGAGAGTACTGGGATGCCACTGAAGAGCTCCTGGCAGAGGTCACCCAGCCCAAGTCTGGCTGTGTCCCTTCTCAGAAGTGTGGCACATCCCCAATGCTGCCCTGGCTGGTGGGGCTGCTGCTGCTGAAGGAGCCTTGGGGGAGCTCCCTCACCTGTCCCTCCAGTAGTGATAGCCATGGTGCCCCACAACGTCCTCCACTGCAGCCAGAATGTGGTCAAAAGTCTAGAAGGGGGTGGGTAGGGGGACTGGATCAGGACTCTGCTCAAAATAGAAGGAAGAGAGGTATAGGTGTAGGGATGGGGTTCTGGTACCCACGTGCTCATGCAGCTCCTGGTTCAGGGTGGGTTTGTGATGCTCACTCCTCTTCACCTTCAGCCACTTGACCAGTGGCTTGATGGTTAAGCCCTATGGACAGGCAGCAGGTGAGCCCTGCCCTATCCAGTTCCCTGCTGCCCTTCTCGCCCCATAATTAGACCTCAGCTTCTGTACCTCCACCTTACTGCACTCAAGGTCTGGGAAGTCAGGTCCCTATCCCCCAAAGAGAAGAGCCCCAGTCCCAAAGGCTCCATGCCTCCCCCAGGGCCTGCCGGACCCTCTCCCTACCCAGCCTCCTGGGCTCTCCCACCTGCACAATGACTGTGAAGAAGACCACCACAATAGTGGTGGCCACAAAGTAGTCCTTGGCAGGGACCTTGGTCCTGTCCAGTAGGATGACGAGAGCGAAGGCCACAGCCCCCCGCAGGCCCCCATAGGACATCACCACCTGGTCAATCTTGTCCAGAGGGACCAGCCGGAACTGATTCAGCACCCACGTCTGCAGGACTACGCCTACAGCAGGAGGGAGGCCAGTGGGAGCAGGGCGTTGGGAGTGGAGGACCCAGGAGTGGATGGCACCAAGTATCTGGGCTAAGGTCTGACAGGGGTTGGGAGGGGTGAGCAACGGGGCGGGGGGGTGGGGCTTAGGAATAGACAAGGATGTGGACTCAAAGTGGGGGATGAGCTGGGGCAGGGCAGGAAGGAGAGTGGGAAAGCAGAGGGTGCTGGCAATACCGAGGGCTCGGAAGAACAGGATGAAGAAGAGGGTGCCCAGCACCAGCCCAGAATCCCAGGCCCACTTAGAAGAGTCCACAGCCGAGATGCCAAGCAGCATGAAGATGACGGTCTCAGCACAGCTGGCTAGAGTCTTCATTGTGTATTTGACAGCCGTGCGTGACTTATGGGAGATGTTGGCCTCCACATACTTCTTACAGCCCAGGCCACACATAGTCACACTGGGAGAGGAATGAACAGACAGGGCAAGTAAGGAGGGGTTGCAGCCTCTGGGGTGTGAGCGTGCCGCAGGAGGGGTGCTGCCCATCACAGGATGTCAGACCGTCAGAGCTGAAGCCCAGGGAGGCAAAGAGACTGTCCCAGGATAGCTAGTGGTGGGTGGTCTTGGGATAAGGGTCCAAATCTCCAGGTTCCCACTCAGTGCCTCCTGGAAGGGAAGCTGCGAGAAACATGCTCTGACTTGCATCCTCTCTGAGGCACTCTTTAAAGTGCTGTGGCCATTAGAGCTGGTGGCACCAGGACCTGAGGTCCACTTCTAGCTCAGCCTATACCCCAGAGAGTGCTTCAGGCAGAGGAAGATTGGGTTCTGAGGTGCCTAGAGCAGTTCTGGAGGCAGATCCTGAAACATCACCTGAGGTTTGCCGTCTCCCCAGGGGAGTTTGAGGCTCCCGCTACCACAAGGGCTCAGGGAAGCCTATTGCCTCTTCAGGGTCCTGCTTCTGTCCATGGAAGGGGCAACCATCTCCAATGCCCCCTCCCAGCTGCCTACATGCAAGGCCCCCAAGACTCACGCAAGAATAGCAGAAAGCGAGGCCATTTCAGCAGTGAGGTAGGCTGCATAGGCGAGGAGGAAGACCAGCAGCGGCTCGATGATGCGGACCCGCTTGGTGAAGCGTGTGGTCAGGGCCAGGAGGAAGGCAAAGACTAAGCCCACGGCTGCCCCGCCCAGACTGACCAGAAACAGGGAGGCTGGGGGAGGAGTGGGTTGTCAGCATGACCCCAGGCCTGGACCCCACCCGGGCAGACAAGAGTGCTGCCTGACAGGGAGTGGAGGACAATGCCCACTGGACTCCCCGGGGGTCAGGATCCCAGAACCAGGATCCCGGGAAAGCCCTTCCTTCTCAGGTTCTCGGGATCCCATTTCTCCATAGTGGAGGGAAGGGAATGAGGCAACCCAACAGCCTCCTCTGTCCTGACGCAGTTGGGGGCAGGGACTCAGCAACCCAGCCAAGAGGGGGAAATACTGACCGACTCCTTTCAGGTAGTCAGCAGCCTGCACGTTGGCAGAGCCCATCTCCACAAAGGAGTTGCAGACCTTGTACAGCACCTGAGTGAGAAGAGGAGAGTCAGAAGCAAAGAGGGAATGCCCAACTGGGACTGCCAGGAGCAGGTGAAAACTGAGGCTGTGTTTCTTCCCCAGGGGACCCAGGGAAGGGTATGAGCATGCTCAGACACCCAACTAGTCAGAGCATGGTAGCGGGGGTCAGGGAATGGCAGCCAACTGAGCACTCTCACCACAGTGACGGCATCATTGAGCAGGGACTCGCCAAAGACGATGATAAAGAGAGTGTCGTTGACGTGCACCTCCTCAAAGACAGCCAGGACGGCCACGGGGTCCACTGCTGAGATGAGGCTCCCGAACAGCAGGAAGTCCAGCAAGCTGGCCTGCACTCGAGAGGCTTTTGAGGGACAGATGGGGGACAGCAGTTGGTGAGGTATCTGGTCTCCCACAGCATTCCTTGTGACAAGCCCTGGCTCCCACCACCACCCCCCGCCCCCGCATTGTGGAAACAAGGATGCCCAGAGAGGACTTGGGCTGGTGAAGACAGTGTCAGCCCGCAGGTCAGGAGACTTGAGCCTAAGGCCTGGCTTTGCCACTTACCGGCTCTGTGATGTCGGCGCTGTCACTGTCACATGACTTCTCTTAAGCCATGCCTCCTCATCTGCCTACCTCACGAGATTGCTGCAAAATCAACCCAGGAGATGGCTAAGAAAGTCTAAGTAACCTGAAAAGTTAAGGTGACGCTGAGAATTGCAACTGCAGTAATAAGAACCACTAGCAGGTGGAAACTGGCTGCTGACTGGCCTTATCAGGGACAACAACAAGAGAGTGCTTTCTCCCACACTTGTGGTTCTCAGCCTAAGGGATGTGACACAATTGTCAGCAGGAGGGGGAAGGGCTGTCCATCCACGAGGGCTAAGTGTGATAGGAAAAGCACCCACCATGGGGAGAACTTGAATATGACATAGAATCTCTGTGAGCCCCAGTTTTCTCATGTATATATTGGGAATAATAACAGTATCTCCCTCAAAAGGTTCTTTATTTAGCCAGAGTCTCATACATAGTAAGCACCTAATAGATGTTACTTATTATTATTGTTGTTGTTACTGTTATTATTATTATTATTATCTGATGTTCTCCCTTCCCTTCCTGCCCCAAAGAGTTCACTCATCCATTCGGAAAACCAGGCTGGAATCCTCAAGTAGAAACTGCAAACCTCCCCTTGTACCTTGGAAGAAGTCTGAATTATCAATGTTCAGAGTTGGATGGATTTGGGTACAGGAAATGAGGAAGAAGGGAGTAGGAAGGCAGCCTAAGGGCAAGGAGCCCCAGTAAAGCAGACCTCACCTACTAACCTTGAACCTGTTATCAAATGAGTTCAAGGCCTTCTATTTCCTCATCTATTAAGTGGGACAAATTATACCCCAACAGGGTTGCTATAAAGAGTCCATGGGATAAGTAAGGAGAGAACACTCAGTGTAATGTATTGCATTCTGTCGATGTATAATATAGATTTATCTATAATAATAATAATAACAACAGGGGTGCCTGGCTGACTCAGTCATAAGAGCATGTGACTCTTGACCTTGAGGTCATGAGTTCAAGCCCCATGCTGGGTGTAGAGATTACTTAAAAAAAAATTCAGGGGTCCCTAGGTGGTGGTTGGGCATCTAACTTGGTTTTGGCTCAGGTCCTGATAGCGTCTGGAGATCCAGCCGCGCCTCGGGCTCGGCGCTCAGCAAGTGTGCTTGATTCTCTTCTCCCTCTGCCCCTCCCCACTATGTACATGCCCTCTCAAATAAATGAATGAATCTTTAAAAAAAAAAATGTAAGGGGGTGCCTGGCTGAACAGTGGCTGGCTCAGTGAATGAAGCATGTGACTCTTGATCTTGGGGTTGTAGGTTCAAGCCCCATGTTGGGTGTAGAGATTGCTTAAAAATAAAATTGTTAAAAAAAAATCTTAATTAAAAAAAAATAATAATAATAACAGAAAACCACCCTGATGTGACCTGGGCAGAGCCAGGATGGTTGGCCCTCAGGGAACAGTGAATTGTGCCTCAGGGGAGCAAGACTGGCAAGTGGCAGTGTGGTAACAGAGGGCAGGAGGCAGCAGAGTAGTAATGCAGGCTTCCCAGCCTCGGCAGCCCACACACAGCTGGGAGCCAGGCCTCTGCTCAGCTGTCATGCTGCAGAAGCCCAGACTCAACTGGCAGAGACCTAAATGAAGGCTGAAGGCCCATCTGGAGTGTTGCCTTGCACTCCAGGTGGGAGGGACCTAAGACAGAGCTCTTAGGGCATGGCTCTTGCCAATATGGGATCTCCAGAGCTGGAGAAGGGAGCTGGGTGACGAATCTGGCAAAGCCTCCCTCTGCCAGTCCAGGGCCTAGTGTCACTCACCCACAAGTCCAGCCTGCTGCAGGCCCCAGAGGGCAGCACCTGTTGTGAAGGCATTCCAGAGTGTGCCCACCACAGCATATGTGAGGATGGCACCCAAATTGTCAAAGAACAGCCGGCTAGGCATGAAATAGCCCGAGTCCAGCACAATAGGAGGCAGCAGGAAGAGGAAGAATGTGCCTGGCTCCAGCTGGTACTCAGCTTTCTTGGCCACAGCCAAGACAATGCCTCCAAGCACCAGTCCCAGCAAAATCAGCAGGCAGCTCTCAGGGACCAGCGATGTCACCTTCCGCGACAAGTGAAACACTACAATGCAAGAAGAGGGCAGGATGTATCAGCTTATGGGACACACACACACACACACACACACACACACACACACACTGGCCTTTAACCTCCCAGTCTTAAAATGTTATCTAAGGTCAGGAACCCTGACCCTGGGACCAAGGAGGAGAAAAGAACGGCAAGACTGCTAGAATCTCCAAGTTGCATGGCTACAAGCCCTCCACTGCAGCTAAGGTTGTCTGTCTCTTGGTGCTTCTGTCATGGTAACCTAGGCCTTTCTGGCTCTTTCCATTCTGGAGATGACCCCTCCTCTCTACTCTTATCCTCAGGGGGCCTCACCTTTCTCTGATCTCCCTTATTCATAGCTATTATTTGAGCCTCAGCAAATGTTAGCTGGTATATTTTTATGCATAACATAGCTATTAAAATCAGGACCTCTAGAGTCAGGCTGCCTGGGCTCGAAGACTAGCTCCTCTATTTACTAGTTCTGTGGCCTCGGAGTACATAACTTCACCTCTCTTTCAGTTTTCTTGTCAGCAAAATGGAAATAAAAACAGTCATGATCTCATAGAATTGTTGTGAGGTTTAAGTAAAACAATCTACTCGATAGCACTTAACCCAGTGCTCTATCACAAGCACTCAATAAACGTTACCTAATATAGTGTCTTGCTCCCTATCCAGACCACAACACATATTATATCTCCTAGCAGCACTGCAGGCCTCCTAGCCCAATGTGCTTCTCATTACATAGGCTCAACTAATGGCACAATCGCTTAAAAAACATTGGGTGTAGCAGTAAGAAGGTCTCCAGTTCTTCTGGCTCCATCACTTTCTGTGTGATCTCAAGCTATTTAATTTACCTGAACTCTGGGGAAGGATGCCTGGCTGGCTCAGTCGGTGGAGCATGCCACTCTTGATCTCGGGGTTGTGAGTTTGAGTTGTGTATAGAGATTACTTAAAAATAAAAAACCTTTAGGGCGCCTGGGTGGCTCAGTTGGTTAGGCGACTGCCTTCGGCTCAGGTCATAGTCCTGGAGTCCCGGGATTGAGTCCCGCATCAGGCTCCCTGCTCGGTGGGGAGCCTGCTTCTCCCTCTGACCTTCCCCCCCTCTCATGTGCTCTCTGTCTCTCTCATTCTCTCTGTCTCAAATAAATAAATAAAATCTTAAAAAAAAAAAAAAAGAACTAAAAAAAATAAATAAATAAATAAAAAATAAAAAATAAAAAACCTTTAAAAAAATGATCCTGGGGGGAAATAATGACAGACCTGCCCCCAGGAAAAGAAGTGGAAGTATGAATTGGGTTTCTAGCATTATCGCCACTCCTCTCTTTGCCCACTAAAATAAACTCTTTTGGCTTTCCCCTAGGCCCTGAGATCCTGAGTAAACACTTCTCCCCATACCTGGAGTGGCAGGTAGTGGAAGTGGCCTCCATGATAATCGCCTATGTGAGACCCAATGCCAAGACAGTGCCCTTTGGAAGCTATATGCAAAGGGCTTAGAACAGTTCCTGGCACACAGTGGGATCTACATAAATATTTGTCAAATAAAAGGGGAAAAAAGGGCACCTGGGTGGCTCAGTCGGTTAAGCGTCTGCCTTCGGCTCACGTCATGATCCCAGGGTCCTGGGATCGAGTCCCACATCGGGCTCCTTACTCTGCGGGGAGCCTGCTTCTCCCTCTCCAACCCCACTTGTGCTCTCTCTCACTATCTCTCAAATAAATAAATAAAATCTAAAAAAATAAAATAAAAATAAAAATTTAAAAAAAGGGGGGGTGGGGGAAATCTCCTAGCAATGAAGCTGAGGGAAGGTATCGCTGAGCGTCCTACTGATCTCTCCCATCCTCTGTGAGGACTTGTGTGTGTGTGTGTGTGTGTGTGTGTGTGTGTGTGTGATGAAGAGGCTCTCTTCTTCTACCTCCAGAGGATGTGACATCCAAGCTAGGCAACGCACTACAATTTATTGGGGAAACTACAGTTGTTGCTACATAAACCCTAAATAAAACAAGAACTTTCCTGCAACTCATAGACTCCTCAGCAAACCCAATTCTCGGCTCCCAAATCTGGGCTCCTCCCTCTTGCTCTCATTGCTGCCAGGCCCTAAGGTAAATTCAGTCAGATCTGCCCACACACATCCCTACCTTCAGTTCCCCTCTCCTCTCCTTCAGGGACTCCATTCCATCCTCACTTCCAGAGCATGCATCAACCCCAGCACTGCAATCCAAAACCCATCACCAAAGCCTGTTCTCAGGCAGAACTAGGCTCCCTGAAGGCCTTCAGGCCCCATTTCCCATTACTAATGAGCTGCAAGAACAGAGTGGAAAGTTCTTCTGTTCCTGCCCAGCAACCCCACCCCCCACCCCCAGCAGAGTCCCTGGGGGAGTTGAGGGGCAAATTCTAAGCTGTGTGATTCCTACAGGAAGACTGTATTGGTGAGATTGGAGTACAGCCTGTGCCAGCATAGCTGGGGAGTGAGTAGCAACGCTCAGCTATAATTAGTCACCCCCACAGCAGAGCCTGAACAACAGGGAGATGGAGGAGGGTCTCTGGCAGGAGGAGGGACCACTGGCTGCTCAGAAGTGGGGAGGAAGGGGCAAAGGCAAGGAAAAGCAGCTCTATTCAAGGCAAGGAACGTGAAGCACAACCTTTAATGCTGTGCAGACTGAAGGAGGTCGGATGTATGAAAGCACCTAGTGTAGGCAGCAGATAGTAAGTAAGGCCCTATGAAATGAAAGGGGTTTTTGTTTGTTTGTTTTTTACCCTGAAATGGGAAGAACGTAGATCTGAATAATGGTAGGGGGTCCTGCTAAGCACACTAAAGAACGGTGCATCTGTAGGAGAGCAGAGGGGGGGCCTAGAGGAAAAGTGGCAATCTAGTATCCCAAGAGAGTGGACACTTGTATGTGGTCTCCTGGGAAGACTGCTTCTGCAGATCCAGGATGCCTGGATTCGCTGGAGAACACTATCTCCACAATGTCTCCACACATCTTTGTTGCTGAGAGGTTTCTAGGAGCCTGGAGACTGGTGGAGAAGAGGCCAGACCGAAGGGCTTACGGGGAAGAGGGGGGCAGAGAGGGCAAAGAGTAGGGATGGAGAGAGCTGGGGTAGCCCTCAGAGAAGGCCAATCCTCAGACCTCCCCCGCGGGGAGGAGAGGAGGGAGAGAGGGCGCAGGAACTCTGTGAGAGCCCGGATTTGTGGAATCGGAACCTGAGTCCTGGCACTGTGCAAGAAGCAGGCCCTGATCTGGGCACTAGGGGTTGGGGGCGGGTCCGCCGCCGGCCGCCGGCCTGGCGCTCACACACACGCACTCACCGATTTTGGCCAGGCTGGCCACCAGGATCCACAGGGCTACCAGGTAGGGCGCCTCCACCTCGTGCCACTGCCAGCGGAAGAGCGCCAGCCCTGCGGGAGGCTCGCCGGGCGACCCCGGCTCCTGGGTGGGCTCTTCGGTGGCGGCCGCCCCCGCCAGGGGCAGCCCGAACAGCGGTAGTGCGGCGCGCAGCATCCTGCCGCCTGCCTAGCGGCCCTCCGGCACCGCACGGCCGCCGGCCCCGCGTCGCTGCCGCGCCTACCGGCCGCCCCCGCGTCACAAGCACGTGGGGCCCGCTCCCCCCAATCCCAGCTCCGAAACCCCCAAGCCGGGTCCGGACTCCGAGACCGTGCCCCGGGCGTCCGGACTCTGGACCCCTGGTCCTCCCCCCTCTAAACCAGTCTGAGCTCTGGAAATCCCCCAGTCCAGCTCTCCAAGTCCCGAAACCTATTCCTTCGAGTCCGCTCCCCCAAACCTTCCCCAGAGCTCCCCTGACCCGGTTTCAGAGCTGTGAGCGGCCACAGCCCTCCGGAGGCGCGGCCGCGTCCCACCCGCCGGAGTAGGTAGCCCGTCGCGGGAGCGGAGGGGATCTGCGGGGGGCGCGGTCCAGGCCGGAGGGGCGCATCTCCTTCACCGCTAGTGCCGACCCGCTGGAGCCGCCGGCAGCTGGTACTGAAGGCGCGGGCCCCGACGCTGCCCCGTGCAGACGGCAGGGGGCAGTGCGCCGCCGCCCTCCGGAGCCTAGGACCCCCTTCGGGCCCCCGCCCAGACCAGCGCTGCGCACGCGCACTGGGCCCTCCCAGAAAGCCGTGATGGACAACGCCGTCCTTCCTCAACGTCCCCAGAAACTCCAAGGCCCAGACTGGGCCCAGCTCATTCAAGGCTGATGAGGAAGCTGTTCCTCTTTATCTCCCAAACCGAGGAGCACCCGGCCTCCCTTTCGGTCAAACTACAGGAAAGTCTCCTCACCTTTTCCATGAAAACAGAAGGGAACCTATCCTCTTTCCCTGAACTATGAGAAAACCCAGCCTATCGATTCCCTTCAAACTAAAAGGGATCCACTCACCTTTCCCCCCAAACCTGAGGGGCATTTGGCTTATCTCACCCCAAACTGAGGAGGACCGTCTCCATTTTTCATTCAAGCTGAGGGGCACCCAACCCACATCTTACCCCAAACTGAGAAAAACATGTTCTACCTCCTCACTCAAATTGAGTCATCACATCATTTTCCCAGAACTGAGGGGCACCCGTCCCTCTTCTTACCCCAACTAAAGGGAAATGATTCCACTTCTTCCTTCAAACTGAGTGGAATCTATTTTCACTTCTTGCTCCAAATTGAAAGGGATCCATCTCCCTGCTTTCCCCAAACGATGGAATCCCATCCACTTCATCCCTCAAACTGAAGGAATCAGGACCATCTCGTCCCTAAACTCTGGGAGACCCGGCCGGCCACTATCTGAAGAAATTCCCGCCCCACCTGCCCGAATAACCCCTCAACAAGAATGCAGCCTCACCGCCACCAACCCCAATGAAAACCTCCCCGCTCTGGGCACGCTCTTGAAGGCGGGGGGTGGGGGTCTGGGGGGGTGAGCTCCGGTTTCCCGCCGGCAGAGCCAGTGAACTAACGGGATCACGATCGCGCCCTCTGAGTGGCTGGTGGCAAGCCCCGCCCCCAGCAGTGGTTGCCCCTCCCGGCGCTTTCAGGGACTACTCTTGGCTCCACCCCCTTCCTCGGCCCCGCCTCCTCCTGGCCCCGCCCCCTCTTCAGCAGCGTCCGGTCAGACCCGGCCCAGACAGCCGAGCTAGTTGAGTAGACGCCGCGCAGGGGCCGGGACCCTCGCGGAGGCGCGCGGCGCGAGCCAGTGACAGACGATGGCGGGCGAGGAAGACCGCGGAGACGGGGACCCGGTATCAGTGGTGACCGTGCGGGTGCAGTACTTGGAGGATACCGACCCCTTCGCATGTGCCAACTTCCCGGAGCCGCGCCGGGCCCCCACCTGCAGCCTAGACGGGTCACTGCCCCTGGGTGCGCAGATACCCGCGCTGCACCGCCTGCTGGCGGCGCCGCTGAAGGTGAGGGGGTCCGGAGAAAGATTGGGGGCGATCAGAGGTTCATGGCGCCATGAAAGCCTTTGGGAGGTATCCCTCGGGGAGAGGCTGGAGCGGGTGCGCTTCTGCGGGAAAGTCTTGGACTGGGGACTTAAGGTCCACGCTGCCTCGCTTTCGCGGGACGCCTCTCAAGTTGAGGGAAGCTGAAGAAGGGAGATGGGAATTTGTGGTCTGCGCCACTCCGGCTGCCCCCTCGAAGTGAGGCCCACCTGGGGAGATGTTCGGGGTCCACTCGCTGCCTGTCTGCCTGGGTAACCGATCTGGATAAGGTGACGGTAGATGTTTGGGTGGTAGCGGACTATAAAAGTTGGAGCTGGGGAAGCACCCAGCTTCCACCTGCTTCAGGTGAGGTGGGGCGGGACCAAAACGAGGGGCGGACCCAGGGCGGGCCACTGGGGCGGCCAAGGCCTCGAGAGGTTTCTGGAGGCTGGATTAGGTCCTGCCGGATGGAGTGTTGCCTCGGTAGGTGCGGGCCCCGCTCGGGAGTGCCAGTAGAAGAGAGACTTCTCGGGGTGAGGTGAGTCTCCGGGAAGCGGTCCGGCCCGGGACACGCCGAGAGCTGGTGGCTGCACTGGTGGAAAAGCCCTTTGAGTCACCGCCCCCACCATCCCGTACTCCCGCCGCAGCCGGCCCACTGCTAGAAGGGAGGGGGCGGGCCGGGCTAATTTTAAACCGCCAGCCTGCCCTAGTTTGCCTGCGTCCCGGAGCCGACTCGTGCACAGTGCTGGGAGAGGCCCTTTTCCAGATGGTTGGCTCTACCTCCCCTCCAGCTCCCTGCGCTCAGCCCCCCGCAGGCAGCGCCTTCCGGCGCGCTGGGTTTCCGGACCAGGACTCTGGGAGGCGCACTACCACCCCCCAGGGTTCCCCGCCAGCCAGTACACACCGAGTGGTGAGGAAAAAGAGAGAGTTGGCGGGGGTGCCCTCCCCTGCTCCCAGCCTTAGCTGGGGGGCGAGTTACGCAAACTTGCCCCCTAGGCCCGGGGTCTCCCCTGGAATGTGCCCCGGGCGCCGGGCCCCCAGCCTGCATTCCTCGCTCTGCAGGCCAGCCCCGCCTCTGAGCGCGGGCGGGAGAGTTAGTGAGATTATTGGCGGGGGGAGTGGCGCGTGTCCGGGCAGAGCCCCGGCTTCAAGGCCACTGCTTGAAGGTTGTAGTACACTGCCCACTTTAGTGTTTTGATGCAACCCCTTTTGTCCTGCCCTGTTCAAAGGGGCAGTCTGAGGTGGGCCTGGAAAGAGCACGTCCCTCCCGAGGCCACCTTCAATTCAGGTTGGGAGCTGGAGAGGGGTGTTGAACCGAGTCTTGGTTCCTGCCTTCAGGCTCCTGGAACTCCTGGTGCTGAAATAAGCCTGGTCCATTACAGAGAACATAGTATTCCTCCCACCCCCCACTCTAGGACAGGACTTAGCCCTAACAGCCCTCTTCCCAATTAGGGACAGATTTGGGAGGTCAGCAACAGAAAAGAACAACCCCTCTTCTTCCCCTCATTTAGGGACCCATCTCCCTGCTGCACCAGGTGCTCTGTACTCCTTAGCTAAAGACTACAGAGCTCAGATGGAGAATGTGTTAAGTGTTAAGTATGCCCCAGCTCAGACATTCCTGGTCTCCCCACCTTTAGGATCTCCCACTTGGTGTACCTCAGGACTACCATATCCCCCACAGGCAGGATATGCTGGTGGGCACACTGAGTTACCACTGTGCCTGTAGCCAGGATTCCCTGGGGCTGGCAGCTGTGCTAGGAATGGTCAGATACACTGTGATGTGCTCATCCCAAATATAAACTGTGACCACAGCCCCAGAATAGAAGGCTGGAGGAAGAAGGGCTGAGAATAGGATAGGAGCAGGGACATCAGAGGGCTGAGAGAGGGGGAGCAGGGCTCCTCCTTGCAGGAACTGTCAACAGCTCGTCCCTCCCCTCCTCCTATAAGTGTTTGCCCCAGGGGCACAGACATGACTCAAGCCTGCCCACATAGCCCTATAGAGGGGAGAGGTGGCCCAGAAACCCAGGCATTCCCATCCCAGGCCTAGAGCAGAAATAAGAAGGAGGGGATCAATATATTATCCTCTGTACATCTGTCCAGTAGAGGAACAGGACACAGACAAGTGATGACATCTGCCCTCCCACTCTGGGCACTGACCATCATCCCTGCAGACCCTGCTCCCTCCCTGGGAATTTAGGAAGGTCCAGCCTACTTTCACTCTGGAGCTCCACCCTACATACCCCATTGGGCTGGGCCTAGCGACTAGAGTTCCCCTGGGGGCTTCCTTTTTAAACTGTTTAGAGCTTTCAGATCTGAGAAGGCCTTGCTCATTTCCTCCTAGTCTAGGAGGAAGCTCCTTGCCACAGCCTCTGACTCATCTCCTGGCCTTGGGTGGGAGTGGGAGGGGTGAGGGGGCTGGGGAGGGTCCTGGCTGTTCCTTGGGCCATGCCTGGTGTCCCCAGGGGAATATTAGGAATATCTGTCTTCCCTCTGTGCACAAGCCTCTCCCAGCCCAGGGACCTGCCCCTGTCCAGGGGAGAACCTGACCCTCTGGCCCTGCATTTCATCTCTTTACCCAGAGCTCTGCTACATTTTGGTCTTCTGGGCAGTGCCTCAGGAGCCCCTGTCTGACACGTAAAGGGCCTGCCACGTGTGAGATAGCATTGACTTCTCCCTGGGCTCTGGGCACAGAGACCTGAGTCCTGCTCTGACCTTGATGCAAAGGCCCGAGGAGCCCCCTACTTCTAGCAGCAGGGATAGCCCTAGAAATCCGTCTGTCACCAGTAACTGTTTCCCCAGCTGTGGCTAAAGATTAGAGGAGGACAGGGATGGCACTGTCCTGGGATGTTTCTTGACCTTGCACCCTCCCTACTCCAGCCTCAGTTTACCTCTCAGGAGCAGTTGTGGCAAGGGGGCTAAAGTGTGAACCTGATCTGCTGGGACAGGGACCAACTGGAGGGATCCCAGAGGAGGTTTAAGGGTAAGATGGGGTGCTCTGGTGATGAACTGAGCCCTTTATTTCCCTGATATGGAGGTCTTTTGGGGAGACTAGAAGTTTGGGATGTGGACATGAGTTATGGCCTTCTCCCAGCTTTCTCTGGGGCCACCATCCATGTCCAATTTACTGGTCATTCTGGGGTCAGGCTGGGATGCAGCCTGGTGAGGGACCCCAGGACCTAGATCCTTACAGATGTAGGCATTGTTACCTTGGCGTGTATGATGCGTATGTGTTCATTTGTGTTCCGTTGCTACAACTTGGAGGACCAGTTCAGGGTATTTGCTGAGTCCAGAAAGCTGAGGGGTGGTCTTCAGCCCTTGGCAACACTTCATGCTCCAGCCCTCCCCCCCGCCCCACCTCCCCTCCAGGGTTCCCTGGAGCACTTCCAAAGTCCATCCACCCAAGATGTAGGTCAGTTAGCCCTGGTTCCATTCCTGGTTGTGCAGCCTGGGGCATATTCACTGAGTTTCTGAGCCTTGGTTTCCTCACCTGTAAAAGGATTGTCGGGAGAGGGGCACCTGGCTGGCTCAGTTGGTAGAGCATTTGACTCTTGATCTCAGGGTTGTGGGTTTGAGCCCCAATTTGGGCGCAGAGATTGCTTACGTAAATAAAACTTAAAAAAAAAAAAGGGAATAGCAGGAGAATCAGACAACTAGGCAACCTGGTATGTGACACAGGGGAGGCATAACTATTAATGGGTTTCGCTCCTCAAGGTCCATCCATGGTGTCTCATCCAGGAAGTCATGGTCTAGTTGGAAACCCAAGATAGCAGTAGAAGGAGGGTGTCATGTTTAAAGTTTATATATTTGTTTGTTTGTTTAAGTAACCTCTACACCCAACGTGGAGCTTGAACTCATGACCCCAAGATCAAGAGTTGCATGCTCTCCAAATGAGCCAGCCAGGTGTCTCAAGGGTATAGGGTTTAGAGGACAGCAAAAGAAAAAAAAGCAGTTAGCAAAATTATTTCCTAAAACGGGAGTCCTTCAGCATATAATTCTGCCCTCTTCTCCTTCTTTCCCTGCCCCTGGTGTGTTCATTCTCTCCTGATTTGCAGTTATGAAAAATATTGGGGAGTAGACACCATGGTCCCCTAAGTTTGGCCCTGCATTTAAAGCCATATGTAATGAGTTGGTTTAGGCTGTCAGAAGAGCCTGAGCCCAGAGAACCAAGAGAAAAGTGGGCTGGATGCTGAAGGGAGGGGCTGAGCCTGGGAAGAATGGAGAGGACTGTACTCCAAAACAGACACAGAGAAGCGTGCAAGACAAGAACCAGGAGGGAGTCAAGGATGTGGGCCTACACGGGCCCTGTGCTGACCCTCAGCACTGTCAGCAGGCTTATTCTGGCCTGGCCCAGCCCCAGGGTGTGAGAAACAAGCCCCAGAGGTTTGGCTCTCAGAAGGGTGACCCGAGCAAGGGGCCAGGGGTGTGAGGGACAAACACCACCCAGCTGGTAGGAAGTCTCTGTTCTTTGCTACCTTAGCCCACCCTCCCCCATCTCCACCCAGGACAGGCAGCTGGGTTGGGGGGTACCATCCTGGAGGCTTTGGGCTGACTGTTACCTCAGGACTCCTCTAGGGAGGCCACTGCTGCCACCATGGAGGGAAAGAGATTAAACCTGCTCACCTGAGAAGGCTGGATGATGGAGCACTTGGCCTGCAGGACCTTACCCCAAATACA